TAAACTATTAAATTCCACAATAAGATTTTCTAATTGAGCAATCTGAGTCTCCCAAAAATTTTTAAGATTATTTAAACTTTGACTTATTGAGGAAACATTTTTTTGTAAAATTTTTGATTTTTTGGTCATTTGTTCTTGTCTTGTACTTAGAGTTTCATGTAATTTAACAGCTTTTTTTTCTTTATATTTAGCAATGCATAAAGTTGTCCCTCCTACTACCATTGTTCCTACTGCTTCCCCAAACATTGCTACTATTGCTACTACTCCTGCTGTTGAATATCCTGGTGCTATTACTATTGCTGCTGGAGGTACAGAAATTGTTAGACAAATTCCGCCTATAATAAAAGCGATTTTTGACCATTTATTTAAAAACTTTTTTTTAGATTCAGTATCGTTTAAGTTGTCGTATGTTGTAGGATCAATATTTTTCATCTTTTCAAAATTCATCATGTGTTAAAGACCTTGTAGTAGAAATTATTAATGGAGCACGAGAAGATATAATCCCAGGGACACCTGAACCTTATATTGAGCTGTATACAGGTAAAATTAATTATGTAAAATTATATTTAAAATTTCAACTAGCAAGTTAATTCAAGAATCTTTTATTTATTTATATGATAGCATGTTGGCAAGCTGATCCTGGAAAACGTCCACAAATTTCTCAAGTAACTGAAGCTTTAGAAAAAATTGTCATTGGCAAAACAATACAAAATGCTGCTAACATTACTTTATCAGAGAGTAATTTAATGAAAAATATTGAAAATTCATCATTGAATGATTCAAATAATTCTAATTTGGAAACAGATTCAGATGATGTCAATATTGAAACAAATTACTCTTATTTTCAAATTACTAGTACAATGGAAAAAGAAGCTTTAAAGATTTCTCATTTAATTTTATCAATAATGGGAAAAGACAATAATCAAATATTAATGTTCTGCTCTAAAGATGGAAAAAAATGGGATGGTCCTTATTCTTTTTTTGAATTTGATCAGTCAAGTACAGTAGCTACAATAACAAATTTCAATAGTAAACTTTACTTGGCTTTGAATCACGATGATCAAATATACACTCACTGGTCATAAATATAAGGACACTTGCAGATCATTGGAAATAATTG